TAAACCAGCAAAGGACCAGCTTAAACCAGCAAAGGACCAGCAAAGGACCAGCTTAAACCAGCATCAAAACATACCTAACCAGCATATGCTGGTTTTTTCAACAGGGCACACTGCCCCAACAGACACCGACAAACTTTGTGTCAAGAGAAAGTGAAGTAAGTATGACTGGGAGAAAAAAATGGATGATCCAGTAACCAATTAAAATGTTCCTGTTATAAATGTCTTTGCATGTCATTCTTCATCTGAAAAAATGGCGAATAAAACGAAAGAGGTTGTGGGTGAAGCCGTGGTTGCTGCTACGGGGAAGATGGGGCGCCTACTTGAATTTATGCAGAGAACTGCAGTCGGAAGATTTACAAAGCTTTCAAAATTTAGCTCGGGTGGTCCCTAATCAGTTTTGGTTCGTCCAGAAACCTGCCATTTAGGATAATTTGCTAAGCACGCCCAGCACCTACTGCAGGCTTGCCTCATCGTCATGGCAACGGTTCGTGGCCACAGGTCAGATTACGTCAGAGTTTGTTGGAAAATCATACCACACTGCTCAGCCATTCCACAACCCAACAAATACCAATCAAAAATCCTCACCTGGCGAAGTCGTTCTTCAGCACCCTCATGAGAATGATGATGACGAAGCCCAGCAGCAGCACCACCAGCACTAGTGAGTTGATGATGGACAGCCAGTGGATTTCCAGAGTCTTAGGAAAGAAGGAATAGTCTCTAAGGCGCTCCGCCCTGCGCGAATGGGGCAACGTACTCTCAAACCAGCGCACGCTGTAGGTATGAGTGACCGTCAGACCACCGCTGCCGACACCATGGCCTGCCCCTCCCCCGCCTTCCTCTAATGGCTCCGGCTTCACGTCCTTCACAGACACGTTGGCGAAGATCACAGAGTCGCCGTTGTACTCTATATTGAAATCCAAGTGTGTCCACAACCCCACCTGTTGTACAAAAATAGTGAATGAAGCAGGGCTATTGTAGTTCACTAAAACTAAAATTAAAACCAATAAAAATGTGTATATATTTGATTAGAATATTTGTAAAATATTTGATATATTATTTATTTGAATCCCTCGTTGTTGTATCTCTAACCTAACTTTGTAAGCGACCTCTGTATATTACTTACAGCCCTTGTGTATTGTGCTTTGATGTTGATGTTTATTTGGCTCTGTTCCTTATTTGTCTCTGTAAAGCGACCTTGGGTGTTGGAAAGGTGCCATATAAATACAAATTATTATTATTTGTTACTTGAAAAAACATAAAACTTATCTTAATTTAGCTAGTTCCCATGGAAACATTTCTCATTTTTATGTAGTTTACCATATATAAATAACATATATAATAAAAAATATTAATTAATAAAAAATTAACTCAAACTATTAACAAAACCTGTAAGTGTAACTAATTGATACTAAAATAACACTGGGATGAAGAGAATCATGCTTTATTCAATAAATTAGCAAATATCAAAACAGTCAAACAGTATACAGCAGCCCCAAAAAGTTCTTATTGTACATATTTAATATTTTATAATCTCTAATATACACTACTATGATTTTTTACTGCTTTTGAAAAAAAGTCTCTTATGCTCACCAAGATTTATTTGATCAAAAATACAGTAAAACAGTAACATTGTGAAATATTATTACAATTTAAAATAACTGTTTTCTATTTTTATATATTTGTACTTAAAATGTTTATTTATTTATTTATTACTCCAGTCTTCAGTGTCACATAATCCTTCAGAAATCATGCCAATATGCTGATTTGGTGCTTGAGAAACATTTATTATTATCAATGCTGAAAACAGTTGTGCTGCTTAATATTTCTGTGGAAACCGTGGTACATTTTTTCATAAGATTCTTTGATAAACAGAAAGTTCATAAAAGCAGAATTCATTTGAAATGGAACATTTTTGTAACATTATTAATGCCTTTACTGTCACTTTTCATCAATGTAATGCATCCTTGCTGAATAAAAATAATAATTTCTTTCAAAAAGAAAGAAAAACCTTACTGACACCAAACTTTTAAACAGCAGTCTACATAAATGTATGCATCTAATATTTTAAACTAACAACGTTTTTGATAAAACACCACTTGTTTTGATATATTCATCTCTAATGTAATGAAATTCATATATTTATATTTGTGCCAAAGTGAAAAAAGACCTTGTGGCTGTGAGGTAGGAATCCACTCTCTTCCATGTATCCCACGAAACCCCAGATGGGAATGTCATCTAGGACAAACTCGAAGTAATACAGCTCCTCGATCGCCTCTCGCAACTGATCAACCTGTAGTTTAAAAAATGTATAAAGTATGACACATCTGAAACAATTCCATTTCCCTAAGTCTCTGCCGTTTCCTCTTTCATGACATGAAAATGTGCTAAATCCTGCCCGAGGAGATCTGGTTTTTGCAGAGTTTATTTCCAAGCCTCTAACACATCCATCACTATCATTCTCAAATGAACCTGAAAACCTCGACTAGCTGGTTCAGCCATGTTTAATCAGAGCTGGAGCAGGATGGATAATCCCTGTCATAAATGCAAATGGTTTCCCATTCCAACAGCACAAATAAACAGACTACAATGTACACATGAGCAAAATGAAATCCCAAGCATCCTTTCTCTAAACAAAATCGCATTTGCAATTTTTGTGAATAAGATCGCATTGCTACCTCTTTCTCAGAGAGAGTGAGCTTGCACAGCATCTGTCTCTCAGTGTTTTCCTTGAAACGGATGTTGTAAAGAGACTCAGCCATACGGTCTCCATCCAACACCTCTCCCAGACTCAAGGCTTTATGACGGACCTGCAAACACGTCAATCATCCACAAGGTGATAGATCTGCACTAATAGTATATCATAATGACTTGTATTGCACCATAAGGTCATAAAACAAGCACACTGACTGAATAGTGCGGTGCACACTCACCTCTTTAGGTCTACAGACTGGCAGGGTGTAATAGTGATAGGTTTCCTGGGGGTTGTGATACGGACCAACTTTGTTAACGTACAGGATCACCAGATCGCCTTGTTTGTAACTGACTGCCCAGCCAAAGCGAGGCAGCAAGCACAGAATCAGCACACAGAGCCTCATGGATCGACCAGCGACACACGGGCCTGAACATTCCAGTCTTGCTGTCATGACAACACCTGTCAGTGGGCAAATCAAGACTGTAAACGGGGTCTGCAACTATGCAAACAACAAAAAAACATTTACATAATTACTTTAAGTGGTTGACAGGTCCTGCAGTCTGACATGCTAGACTCCATCTAGTCTCTATCTTTAGTGACTACATGGAATATTGAAAAATACAATCATGATTTTTAATTTTGGGATGAACTATCCCTTTTTCTTCATCATTTTTATAAATGTAATTAGAATAGTTAGAATTCATATAAATTTGAATCTTGATAAAAAAAGTGAATAGACATTATGCATATACTACATGTTAGACATTAAAACTTAGACATATAAAGCTTTTAAATAGCTAATTATTATTATTATGACGACTTCATAATATGTAGTGATTATATTGTATTTCTAAATAATTAAAACGTGTTGAAAAATGTGAAGGTAGAAAATATAATCATGATTTAATTTTGGGAAGAACCATCCCTTTATGCGAAAATGGTCACAGCACCTAAAACATTTTCTCTTAATCATTTATATTAATTTAAAGATTTCAATTTTAAACATTTATATCAATTTGAATATTGAAAAAAATTAAAAAAGTTAATGGGCATATTATGCATCAACTACACATAAGGCTTCACTGAAACAACATAACAATTACATAATTATATAATTATTATAGCGTTAGGGTGACTCGTTACAATGCAATTCCATAAATAAGCACTGAATTATATGAATTAACAACATGTACTTACTACAGTGTTGGGGTTTGGTTTAGTTGCTTGTAATCATGCATAATTAACTGATATTACTATAGAAAGTACAACGTGTGCAACAAGTGCACTGTAAAATAAAGTGTTACCGAAATCAGGTTTTGTTGAGTCTCCTAATACAAAAATGGGACCATCTTTCCAACGCCTTCAGCTAGGTTAATTCAAATTGTTTTGAAAGGTAAATAAATAGATATAGTTAGCATCTTTCAGACATAAACAAATTATATACAAATCGATCGGTCTGCACTCTGATTTAAAGGCACTATAAATCATCTTCGCCTGCAGATATGCTTGAAATACTTCCGCATCAGAGAAAAGCAACAGACCTGTTTCAGATGCTTCCTCAGAATCGCTTCTTTCTTTTCAAAATCCAGTCAACAGCACTCTCGTATGTGTAATATCATATCCGGACATTGCTGGTGATTGAAGACATCCGATCTTTGCTTTTAGGCGATGAAACAGCCGAAAGGTCGAGATCAGCAGCGGCGCACAGCGAATCCACGTCACCTTAAAAAATAAAAACACCCTTATTGGGATCTTCCGGGGTGGGCGGGGCTACAGCGCAACACCTGCACCGCTCCGACGAGTCTCTGCATCATTATTCCACCGCTTTAAGTGTGGTTTCAATCAAATAAATCGTTTATCATGCGTTTTAAGAGGTGATGAGCATTACCGGGAAATTCCTTCGCTCTCGTTGATGTCTTACCAGTCCTGACTAATCGATCGAGTTGCACGTTCTGTTGTTCTTCCTTGTGAAGTCTGAACTAGACAATTTTGAGAAATCGATTCCATCGTCTGCCACAGGAATTCGATTATTGATGCCTGTAGTAGAATCCGCGCGAAATTGACAACACTTTCTGGCGCGGTTGTGTTTGTGTGTGTGATTGAAAGCGAGACGCGAAAACATTTTATTGGTAAGTTTTATTTTATTTCTGCATTTTATAGTTTGTAAACCTTTGGTACAGATATGCGGCATTACATAAGCCGCTTTATCACACGCGTGAGGGTTTTTAAGCGTTATTTTGGAAGCCTGTTTTTCTTCGTTCTTTACTATTCACACTGATGTATGAGCTGCTCCGTGTTTGTCTTTACTAATTTACTAGTAACTGTGTTGGCCAAAACTTACTTATTGCATCTAATAATTTATTTCTATCCTTTCAGATTTCTGATAATAACAGTTCATCACTATGGGTATTCATGGACTTGCAAAGCTCATTGCAGATCACGCGCCTTCATCTATCAAGGAACAGGACATCAAAAACTACTTTGGTAAGGCCTCCTATCATTTAAATAATATTTCTTGGATGATTGTTACAGTGAAACTCAAATATAGCATATGTGAGTACTTGCATCTAAAAGTATGTATTTTACTTGCATGCAGGAAGGAAAATTGCTATTGATGCGTCCATGTGCATCTACCAGTTTTTGATCGCGGTCAGACAGGACGGTAATGTGTTGCAGAATGAAGATGGAGAGACCACTAGGTATGTAGAGTTTTCTATTATCATTTGTCCAAGTCTGCAAAGAAACATGATAAGCTGATTGAGTTTGAAGCATATACTTTGAGCTTCTCACCTTGTGCCACTTTACATTTGCATGGTCATAATATTTATGCAACCTTCTTGACTCCCCAGCCACCTCATGGGCATGTTCTACAGGACCATCCGAATGCTGGAGGGTGGCATCAAGCCGGTTTATGTGTTTGATGGAAAGCCCCCTCAGCTGAAGTCAGGAGAGGTGCGTCAGAAACACAGTCACTAATGAAATATTCTCAATTTGGAATAACCAACGACTTGGACCTGGAAACAGTATTCCTTACTTCACAACTTAAGTGGATATCATTTTACATTTACAGTTTAAAAAAAAAAGGGCAGAAATGCCACAAATTCACCTTAAAAATATCGAGGCAGTAGTATTTACAGTATTACAGGATGGCATATTGGTGCTTGTATACTTTGCAACTTATAACCATATGATTAATTTAGTGATGTAGTGTTAATATACCAAGCTCCTTAAACTACCAAAATCTGCCTTTTACCGTAAACTGTACTTATAACCACCATAATAATACAGTTGGTGTAATAGAAAGCCACATGATGAATCAGTTTGTCATAAGTGGCCTGTCCATAAAACATGACCTTGTGTATCAGAGACAGTGACACTAAAATGAACATTAAACATTAACTAAATGACATAAAATGAAATAAAAATTCTAATGAACATTACAGATAGCAATAATAAGAAGAAACAATTATTATGGGAGCTTATGGGAATGTCCTTTTACTGTTTTTCTCTGTAAATTATTTAAATTTACATACAAAAACCATTTGACAGTATTTTACAGTACAGAGCCATATAATGCTGCGTAAACATACTTTTTTTTTAACATATATGGTGAGGTAACTTAGTTAACTAACAGATGGTCATTTTCTGCGTTCTGTTTTAAGATATCTTCTTATTTTAACCCCTACAGCTGGAGAAGAGAGGCGAGAGACGAGCCGAGGCTGAGAAACTTCTAGCTCAGGCTCAAGAAGCAGGTACAGACACGTTCAAAACTATATGCTTTTTTGAAAATAAATCTTTAAAATGGGTCCTAATTCCAAGATTTCTCACAGGTGAACAGGAAAACATTGACAAGTTCAGTAAGCGATTAGTGAAGGTTACCAAACAACACAACGAGGAATGCAAGAAGTTACTTACTCTAATGGGTGTCCCATACATTGAGGTACTGCCACAGTCACTGACGGTCAACAACATAAAATAATACGAGTAAAAGCACATGTTATCATGGATATAAGCAAAATTGTATACCTGTCATGTTAAGGCTCCATGTGAGGCGGAGGCGAGCTGTGCTGCTCTGGTGAAATCAGGGAAGGTTTATGCCACAGCAACAGAAGATATGGATGGTCTGACATTTGGAACGACAGTCCTGTTGAGGCATCTAACAGCCAGTGAAGCAAAGTATGTATGGATACGCTTTATATCTGTATTTTGATGATGGAGATGTTTAGCCATGCATTAGTAACTGGTTATTTTTTCTATCCTAGAAAGCTCCCTATCCAAGAGTTTCATTTCAGTCGTATTCTACAGGAAATGGGTGTGACACATCAACAGGTGAGACCTTCGCTTTATTTCAGTCTTATCTGTTTTTATGTAAATATCTGCCTTATTCTAGATGTGTCAGTTCTTTCTAATTGCGGTTTATTTCTGTTTGAACGTCTTCCTCAGTTCATTGACCTGTGTATCCTACTGGGCTGTGACTACTGTGGCACTATAAAAGGAATCGGACCCAAGAGGGCCATCGACCTCATTAAACAGCACGGCTCTATTGAAGAGATCCTTGAGAATATTGACCCAAATGTAAGTTTGTTTACACAGTTTAAAGGTATTTACTTACTGTTGAATGTCACAATGCAGGACATGACATATTCAAAATGTTGCCCATATTAGTGATGCCTCGTTTCAAATCACATCCAAGATCATACTTGCTGAATTGTGCCCTCTAGTGGCGGTCAGTGGATTGCTTAGTCAGAAAATTAATTTGGCCACAGGGCAAGTGTATTGATTATTTGCTGGCCATAAAATGTTGCCCATCATCATTTATTTTCATTATATATTTAATTTTGCACTTAATTTTTGACTGTCTCTTGCATAATTGAAATATGTAGCAGTATTTATTTTTATTTGTAAAAAAGGTGATAATCCTGCCTCAGTTTCTCAATAACAGTTTATGTTAGTAATATTTATATATTGGAGTTATTAATAGTTTTAATTTTATATTTATATTTAATTTTAAAGCTTTTTTATTTCCATTTTTCCAGTAATTTTATGTGCTTTTGTCTTTATTTATTTTTTTGTAATTTTTTAAATACAAGTTTTAGTTTTTTTCCAGGTTAGTATTGTTTATTTCCAGTTTTTCATTTTAGTGCTTCAACATAAATTGATTTGTTAGTTGCCAAGGAAACATTTCCAATTTGAGTTTTTCATCAAACATTTATATTTTATTTTATTTCAGCTTTATTTAATTTAACAATGTATTTAATAGTTTTAGTTAAGAATAATAAATCTGCCCAGTAGAACTCAAACATTGTGAAGACCCAGTTATTTTGTTCCTCATTTTTGGTGAAGGAATTTCTGGAGGGAGAAAAAAACTTTACATCTAAATTTAAAATCATTGTAAATTAAACATTGGTAAACTTTTCATTGCAGTAAAAAGTTCGATGACACACAGCATACTTAATTTTGCATCTTGGCCACAATGCTTATCTGAACAAACTTGTGTGCTCAGATTAATATAGCCGTTTCTTTTAAATAGGCTTTACAATGTGATATTTGTCTTGTTTTGTGCTGCAGAAGCACCCAGCTCCAGAGGACTGGCTGTATAAAGAGGCTCGGGGTCTCTTCTTGGAGCCTGAGGTCATAGATGGCACCACTGTTGATCTGAAGTGGAACGAACCTGACGAGGATGGACTGATTCAGTTCATGTGTGCTGAGAAACAGTTCAGGTACAAAGCAAACAAATCAAACAAAGATTGTTCCTAAAACCTGCCAGACTTAAACCAGAAACCACTAACGTCAGAAAAGCCCATCTAAAATAAAAGAATATACTTTATAAATATGTTACACTTCATTATTACAGTGCAATTACACAATTATGTACGGAGTAATATTAACAACAGGTCCTTACTATGGAATTAGGTTTTGTTTAGGTTTAGTTGCATGTAATTATGCATAATTTACTATTTATTTATAGGGATGTAACCTCGAGCCGGTTGAAAATCGATTTAAATATGTGACGAATCGTGAAATCAAAATCGTGAATCGAATCGTGAGTTGAGTGAATCGTTACATCCCTATTTATTTTTGTAACGCGTGTATATAATATAAAAACAGGGACAGACAAATAACTTATGTGTTTAAATAACTACAATTTGTTGCATTAAAAGCAGCTTGTGATGGATGCCATATTAAAATGGATATGAATTGGCTTGTACACAAAGGTTGTGCAGCAACATTTTTGGGTAAAGCGGGTAGGGAAACCTGTTGTGCTTTGAGGTGTGAGATGGAACAAATAGAAGGGATGTTATCTTGTTTGTTCTCACCGCAGCAGAATATGTTTTTCAGATGTGTTGAATTTGTGTGTTGTCAGTGAGGATCGTATCCGTAATGGCTGTAAGAAGATCATGAAGAGTAGACAGGGGAGCACCCAGGGCAGATTGGACACGTTCTTTACTGTAACCGGATCAATCTCCTCTAAGCGTAAGGTAGGAGGAAGTAATAACCTAACTGTTATAGAACTATATTGGTATATATATATATATATATTTATGGTAAACTATGCATGGATTTCAGTGAGTGATTGCTTGATTGATTTGTTTTAAGAAAAAGGGCATTTTTTTAATT